GACACTCCTGACACACACAATTTACTTAGGTCCATTTAAAAACAAAAAGGAAGACAATTAAAGCTCCCCTCTCCTCTTGACATCACAGAAACCCCTCAGGGCCATCGGTTCCTGATAATCCCCCTCTCCGTATCTTCAGCCAAAAACACCGGGTTACCGAGGCAACGGCTGTGCGCATCATCTCTTTTCTAAGTGTGTGTGACAAAAGTAGAGTCTGAAGAATCAGCAATCGAGGTGGACCTGTGACTCAGATGGTCAACATAATGTGCAGATTACTGGCTGTTTATCTAACTGCGTTGGTTAAATTTCATAGAGAGACTTTCTGAACAAGAATTAGTTATAGAGAAAAATTACTTTTTTGGATTGTGTACAGGTTATGCAACCATGTGAGGGCTTAATTGTCCTGTGTGCCTGCAGGCTCGAAAACACCAGAAGTGCATCGCAACTCCCTCTGCACACATCACACTTGACAATTTGTGCCACGCACCTTGATTCACCAAATATGCACCTGCTGTCTTTGCCAATAACCTTCAAGCACTTTCTCAACTTGTTCCTCTCAACAGGAACAAGAACGGACATTGTCTGCTGCTTGAAAGGCCTGAAATACCTCTTAATTCTCTGCCAGCTTCAATCAAAAGTCCAACATTTAATGCTCTGCTTCCTTTTTTTGTGCCAGTTGATCAAATTAATGCCTGACTGGGGCAATTCTTCACTGGACAAATGATGTTTTAAAATACAGCATTTATCTTTCTTCAGCACCGTTGCAGGTCGGAGAATGTGGATAATACAGTCTCAGACATCTTAGGAGCTTTTCGGGGGCCCGCAGACTCTTGCCTCTCCAATATAGCCAAGTCCTCCTGATATTGAGCTTTGAGTTCCTGGAAGATTCTGACATTTGAGAGATTTTGACTGTCAACCTGAAAGGTCACAGCAAACCCTGAAAGACATATGCAGTTAGAGAGAGTAGGTGATAATAACCGATACCAAGGTAGAGTTATATTTTCTTCAACTCAAAGTAACATATGGATTTTATCGCTTTGAAAAAAAACCCTTATGAATCAAAATAGAGATGGTTTTCTTCCAACGTTACCCACAGTACAAACATGCAGATTTCATGGTGGCTCGATGTGAAAAGCTTCATTTAAAGGCCTGTTGGATCAGTGATTTCTTGCTTTTTTGTTTGTAAAACATGATTCTGTGATGCTGATTTCCTCCCCCCTGCCTTTCTATGTACTGCAAATGGAGTGCGAGAAACAAAAGGTGAACATCTGCAGTGACAATCAGTTGCACAATGGAAGGTGTTGTCAAAGGATGAATGTTCATGAATTCATTAGGAGGCAAGTGTGCTAAATAAAGTGTCTCACAAATATATAACTGCTTTTGACAAGCAAGACACAGCTAAATAGAAAAATATACTTTTAAATAACAAATCTGTCACAATGATTATCTACAAGATCGACTTGAACGGCTTAACTGTGCAACTGTGGCACAGGCTTCAACAGTCTTTCATCAAACAATAGTCTGTGATTTGCTCTGCACATAATGTACTTGTTGGAAAATATTGCATGCAGTTTTGGCAAGCAGTTTTAGTCCCTAAATTACTGGGATGTGCATTCACATGTGATCGCTCTTGTCAGGAGTCCTCTGTCTCTGCCAAAATACTGTAATACAAGTGTTTGTGGAATTTTTCCCTAACAAAATTACAGATGTGGCAGAAAATGTGTGCAGGATTAAGATCAGTGACAATCACAGCAATGATCATGAGTCAGTGGGCGTCTGGAGGTAACATTATTCCTATCTGAATGGAGCTTCAGTGATTAATCTGACTCCTCTCCTGCACATAAATGGGGAAATGATGGGAGCTCACCCAGACACACAACGAATGAGGTAAGTAAAGTTATTGGAAGCAGTGAATACGTTGAGAAATTCACAGTAATGCAAAAGCACTCCACAACCTTAAGATATTCTATTTCTTCACTCCATCCTATGAATGATGTTTTCTTGTGCCGGATAAGTGCAGTGAGTGTGTATCCATTTCTGCCTGTCTGTATTAACCCAGCATGGCCTTCTCATTGTCCCCCTTTGTTCCACTTCTCATCATCTTTGCCCCTGTGGAGCCAAGCTGTAAATTTCTCCTCAAAGCCTCTTGGTCATGACTGACATGATCATGGTGGAGGCTTCCAAATCCTTGTGATTACCTCCTGTCAGCTGTTATCATTATCATCATCAGGCGGTAGCTTTATTCCACAGTCCCATCTCCACTTGAGCTGCGTGGTGGATCTCAGTACATATTGACATCTCCAAAACAAGCTTCTCTGTAAGGCAATGTATGTGTGCGTCTGGGCTTTTTAAACTGCAAACACAGAACAGTCGTGGAGGGGTAACCCTATTATTTAGCATACTGAATTGTTTCCAAAACATGTTGTAAACATTAACTTTAATTTATGGGCAGAATATTTGCCTCCTGCAACAAAACAAAGGCAGTGCTTTCCCCTAACACTCTGGGAGACATTACCCTCATTTATTTTGTAATCACTGGAGATACTTTGCATTTTACCGCACCGTGCCTTACTGTGCCTCCAGGAACAATATAAAAATGATAATCCCTGCAACAATCTGCCTCTTATCTTTGCTACACGTTTTATTTGACTGCATCTGCATGCAGAATCCAAAGAATAGCAATTACAAACAGATCCTCTAATCACGGCACTTTGAATGTAGCAGGTCCAGAAGCGCGACACATCAATCTGCAACTCTCGGGAAAGATAACACCTTCTACCTGAAAATCTGCTCTCCCCGACACATTCCCTGCTGGACAATAAATCGGAGTTTGCTTCCCTTCCACCACGCGGCCGTTCACTGTGAAAAGGGGGCTCTGTGCTCTGTACGTCTCAACAGATGAAGAAACTGGCTGAGAAAAGTCATTTACTTGTGGTCACACTCATGAGTCCGGGGAGTCATCGCATTATGAGCCGTGCAGCGTGCAGACGGCGGGGATGGCAGGCGGCGGGGGGGGGAAGGCTGCGAGGAGCTACAGATGACTGTGCATTACATCAAATGAGAGGTGTGGTTAAAAAAAACATGAATTATGTGATGTTAAGGAGGAGCTCCTTCAAATGTGGCAGGCAAAAGGACAGAGCAGAGAGCGGAAAGATCATCCAGTGAAGGATGTCTTATAACCTCCATCTGGATGATGTCCAGTAATTAAGACCAGAGATGGCTCCTGACATTGGCAGGTTTAAAAGCATGAAAAGATGAACCTTAATACTCATGAAATATTACATTTCTCCCTTACGTGAAGTATCTTCCTGTCGAGCCTTTTTCACCTGTGCACACATATCTTTCTACCTTTACCATATGCAGGACCGACGGGTTCGCTTGTTCCATACATCTTGCATCAAAAGTAATCATTTTTAGGAGCTCTGTTAGACACCTTCTCCAACATTACTCCACCAAACCATTGGTGGGCTGTTTGTTTGACTCTGGTTCTTCTTGGGCAGCAAACAGACAACAAAACGAGGGGGGGGGGGATGTTCTT